TGCTCTGGGCCAGCTTTAGTGCCCCAAAGTCCTCTCCATCCTCATCCCCAAGGGGCCATCTCTGATGCAGCCTTAGAACAGGCACATCCCGCTCTGCAGGGCTGGGATCTGTGCGTGATCCAGAGCTGATCCCCATGGCATCTGGCCCACGGGTGCCACACGTGTTCCTCCAGCAGAGGAGGGTGGTTGAACTCAGCCAGCTCCTCACCGTTCCCCCTGTCCATCTGCCTGCAGACCTGGGCTGCAGCCCAGAGGAGGACCAAGCCTCCAGGTCTCTGCCTCAACAAGGTGCCAGCTTCTCGGAGCTGCTGACGGACCAAGAGGAGGAGGAAGGTGGGAGCGCTGCGGCCACAGGGGAGGCAGAAAGCAGCGTCAGTGTGGCCATGCCACCCCAGCCCTGGACCACCTAGAGCAGCTGGTGAGAGAGGAGCAGGGAGTGATGGGGATGAAACCTCCCCCAGCAGCTCACACGGTGACCCAGGCCCCAGGGCTCCTCTCCCATGGGTGAGCTCTGGGGTCCCACGGTGCTGGTGTGGGACCTGCTGTCCCCAGCAAGGAACCAGTGCTCCTGGCTGCATGGCCGCCTGGGCTTGAACTGTCACCAATAAAGCACCGAGGATATCTGCACTCCCTGTGCTGCTCCTTTTTCCCCAAAAAATCACTGGGAGGGGTAGAAAAGAGCTGCCCACCCTTTGGGAGCTGGCACCAGGCTCTCCCTCCACCCGGGCCACCATGCTTGTCTTCTCCAGGAGAGATGCTGGCCCTGGGGACAGGGACTGAGTGGGGATGGCTCTAGCAGCAGCCCTTGGTGGCCCTTGTTTGGAAGAGTCTTCCCTCATCGCTGAGGGGGTTGGCATCGTGTCCTGAGCCCACAGGCAGGAGGAGCCAGGATGAGCCCTGGGGACCCTGGTCTCTCCGTTTCTGGGCCAACTCTGGTAGCAGCAGGGCTGGAAGGAGCCTAGAAAGTGCTGTGTGACCTCCACCCTCCTCCTAAGGAGGCAGCTTGGGCAGAAATGGGTGTTTGGGAGCCCCTCTCCTTCAACAAGAAATGCACAGCCCTGCCCCTGGGGAAGAGCAATCCCAGGCACCAGTATGTGCTGGGGGACACCCAGCTGGGAAGGAGCTTGGCCTGGGGGTCCTGGTGGACACCAGGCTGCAAAGAAGGTGAATGGTGTCCTGGGCTGCATTAGACAAGGTATTGCCAGCAGGTGGAGGGAGGTGATTCTATCCCTTACTCAGCACTGGTGAGGCCATGCCTGGAGGACTCCGTCATGTTCTGGGGTCCCCAGTACAAGAGAGACACTGGAGAGAGTTCAGTGGAGGATGATGGAGGGACTGGAGCACCTCGCCTATGAGGAAAGGCTGAGAGAGCTGGGACGGTTTAGTCAAGAGAAGCGAAGGCTCGGGGGGGATCTCATCAATGTAGATAAACACCTGAAGGAAGGGTGCAGAGAGGATGGAGCCAGGCTCTTCTCAGTGGTGCCCAGAGGCCATGGGCACCAACTGAAACACAGGAGGTTCCATCTGAACCTCAGGAAACACTTTTTCACTGGTGATGGAGCACTGGCACAGGTTGCCCAGGGAGGTTGTGCAACCTCCATCCTTGGAGATATTAAAAAACTGCCTAGGCATGGTCCTGGGCAGCCTGCTCTAGGCGGCCCTGCTGGAGCAGGGGGATGGACCAGGTGACCTCCAGAGGTTCCTCCCAGCCTCAGCCATCCTGTGATTCTGTGAAAGCCCACCTCCTGTTGAAGCTGGGCTGGGGGCTGCTCTCCTCCAGCACATGCCGACACCGGAGGACTTGCGAAGGTGCCCTGGCTGGAGTGGTCCAGCCCCGTGCCCGCTGCCAGGGTGCGGCTGTGCCAAATAACGCACAGCTGAGGCACAGCTTTGACCCTTCCTCCACCCCTGCTGGGCGAAGCCTCCGGGGGTAGGAGGAAAGTGTTATTTTTATTAAACAGAACTGAATCCACCCACTCTCACAACCACGGGGGGGACAGACGGCTGAGAGCTCTGGCTGGGAGCACTTGGACACCAACCATCAGAGCTGCTGCTGGACCGGCGACGACAAACCCGCTTTCGGACAGTTTGCTGAACCCTCCAGGAAGCTGATGGCCACCACAGCAGGAGGTTTCCATATCAGGATTTGGCATCCTGCTGCCTCTGGAGATGGCAGTGCCTGTGGTCCCTTGGAAGGAGGGCTTCATGGCTCTTATCTGCTCTTCTCTTGGGCTAATGGGGAGGGATGCTGTCGCCTTCCTGTCCCGTCACTGTGGCATCGACTCTGCGGCTGACAAGGCTTTATCAGCACCCAGGCCTGCCTTGAATTTTTGTGGCAAAAGCCTGTTCCTGTTAATAACGCCCATGGCTGATGGTTGCTTCTGGGTCCATCTGACCACGGGAAGCAGGGGGTCACGGTGTGTCGGAGTTATAACGTGCTCTGCCCAGGACTTGGTGGTCTCGTCCCTTGTTGGAAACAGTAGATGCAACTTAAGAAGGAACTTAATTTGGAAGCTGGCACGTGGACCTCCAGCCGGAGCACGGGGAGCCCTTTTGGGGACCCCACCAACAATGGCGAGGCCACCTTGATGTTTTCATCGCTTGGCGTGCTGTAGGTCATTCCTCACAGGGTTCGACCATGGCTCTTTAACGGCCGGGTGGGACCTTTCCTGGCAGAGCTCACCTGCTTTCCGTTCCTCCCCTGTTGTCAGTGGGAGAAGTGGATTCACTGCTCTGAGTTGGAGTAGAAGCTCCTTAGAAACAAATAAACAAACAAACATATTCCATATTCTATCCACAGCATTTGTTTTCCATTCCCAGAGGAAGAGAGGGAGGCTGAGGAACCCCTTTCTCTTCCACTGCTCTTCTCCTGATGTTCACACACATCATATCCCCATTTTTACCCGTTATCTATTCCGTGTTTTCCTCGTTACACAGACTCTGAACTCACACGCGTCCCTTGGGAAGGAGGCCGAATGCCTTCAAGCTGCAGATGATAAGCAAACACCAAGTTACGTATAATCAATCCCTTGATGAGCTATTTACCATGTGACATTACCAAAATATTTCTGGTTGCGAACTATGTTTATCTTCATCTGTTTTCCAAACTCCTCGCAGCCCTGAAAATCCATGTCCCAGGACTCCGGACATGAGCTTTCTCTCTATAATCCTGTATTTTATACTGTAAAAACTGATTTCCCTACGGGAGAAGCTGATTTACGGACAGAAGGCACAGGTTTCTTCTCCTTCCACTGCTTCCCATGGCTTAACACATTAAAATGTGCGCTTGAGAAAGCAGTGGACTAAATGAAGAGCGGAGTTATACCTGGAACTCGTTACAGCCACCGAGAAATTCAGCAGCACTGAAAACAGAAATCCAATCTCAGCATCTCAGAGGCAAAGAAATTAAGATCTTGATCCTTCCATCAAGAAAAACTCTTGGGTCGACCTTCACTTCAGCCACACAACTTCAGAGTAGGTCCTCAAATCATCAGAAATCCTCCGTCGAGGTGGAAAGGAGGAGCGATGCCCTCGGGGAACCTTGAGAAACGGTTCCCTCCCTATCCCAGGTACCCCTAGGTCCAGCTCCCTGGAGGTACGTGAGGTGGGGTCAGCTCTCCAAACACCCTCAAGCTTCTGGAGCTTAAGCCTGCAGTGCCAAGTTAGCATGATAATCTCGGGTTTATTCTGGGCTGCACAATCTATGTCTAGGAATGCTTATTTGGATGAGGAGATATTGCCTGGGTAGCTCTAACAGCAAGAAAGAGTATTTTTTTGTGGACCTGCAAATTCAGGGGAAAAACCAGAAGAGTACGGTGTCCTGCCTGAGTGTTTTCCAGTGAATTGAAATTAATTAAGCAAACAAGCTTAAGTCTGAAGTCAACCTTAACGTAAAAAAATAATTAGCCCTGGGCACGTATCGAAGACGATTATTTGAACAAGTCATTTCTGGAGTGCTTTCTAAGGACTATTATAGCAGGGAGTGAAGAGCCACCATGTAATTTGAATGGTCAGATAAAAGCCTTCACGTATCGCAAGTCAAACACCGGAAAAGTGGTGAAAGGAGAGAAGACACGAGAGCGCAAGGACTTGGTAGCAACAGAGGCACAGGCAGTTAAATGAAGAGAGAAGCTGTCAGTGACGAAGGAACATCAGTGATACCCGAGTTGTGATGCACTCATCTCTCAGCGAAGCTCCCCGAGCGAAGCGGGATGTCCTCACTTCCCAAAGGGCATGGCCAGGTCCCAGCCAGGTCCTGGGGGGGGTCAGGAGGTCCTTCATGGTCACAGGAGCTCAACCACCATCACCCCAAGGTGCAGCGCCCAGGATGGGTTGTGCAGGGCTGGCCCAAGAGAAGAGCGGATAAGAGCCATGAAGTCCCCAGACAAGGGACCACGGGCACCCTGGCGGCTCTGCCGTCTCCAGAGGCATCTCAGTCTTGGGTTGAGATGAGGGGTGAGCTGGATGCTCCCCCACCTCGTCCTCCTGATATCGCTGGTGCAAGGACTACCACGTCCAACCTGCACCAAGGACCTCCAGCAGCCCAAAAACCAGGACTGGGCTCCCTCTTTGCAGCTCGATTCCATGCCCATGGGGACCAGCACAACCCCAAAGAGGTGAAACACCTCCCTGTGCAAAGGAGCCCACAAGCCCTGTCCTTCCCAATGCACAGCCCCCATTTCACGCCCTGCTTTCACGGCCTTCATCCCACCATCGCAGCCCTTCCCATGGCCAGGAGATGGTACCGTTGGCCTTGTCCCTGCTTCTCCTGGGGATGGAGAGCCACAGCTGTCCCTCATGTCAACCCCATCCTGCCCAGCCCCGCCTGCTGCTCTGATCGCACTTGCCCTTGACATGGGACATCCCACCCCAAGTCAAGAGGGACCTGGTGGGACCTTTGAGATCAAAGCCTGGCCCAGCAGGCAGCCTGGGACCTGTCCTAGCACCTGTCTCCCATGGGGCTCGGTCCACACCGGGTCTCCTGCATGGGGGTCTCCGCTCCTACCCTGTGTCCCCAGCTGGGATCCCAACCCTGGTGTTTCCCATCAGGAGAGGTCCTTGCACCCTTTTCCAGCTGTGGTCAGGAAGGTGTTGCCAGCATGGAGGTGGGTGCTCTGACAGCACCCAGGTTTCACCCCAGCATGCAGGCAGGGTGCTCCTGGGGGGATCCAGATCTTGGGGTCCCCACAGACCCCCTGCCCCAGAGCGGAGCCTGTCCCCAGCATGGGACAGCGCTGGGTGAAAGCCCTGGTCCTCACACATGGTCCTGGTGACATCTGCCCTCCTGGGCACATCTCTGGGACTGCGTCGGGGTGGCCGTCCCCGTCCCCACAGGGGGTCCCAATGCCTTCCCTTAAAAACCGGCATCGGGGAATTCAATGCAAAATATTTAATGAGATGCTGAAATGTTTGATGAAACGGAGAGATTTCAACTGCAAAACTGAGCTTCGGAAAATCAGAACGAACCCAAATGTGGGTGACCCCAATTTCGGTGCCGCTGAGCCGCCCGCGGCTCCTCTCCGACCGCCCAAACCCCCAGAGATGATGGGGAGGGCGCGGCATCGCGCCAAGGGCAGCTCGGCAATCGGTGGCAGCTGCCTGCTCGCGCCGCGCGTCCCCCGGCTGGGATTTGGGGTTTGCAGAAGGTGGGAGAGGTTGGCAGAACAGGTCCGGCGCGTTCCCCCGGTCTCTGTGGGCCGAGCGCCTCGCCCCGACACCTCGGCAGGTCTTGCCGAACAGGAGACGCCACGAGAGCCGGACGGATGCGGTAATGCTGGCGTCTGGCCCCGGGGCTGCGCGGGGAGGGTCTGGACCACGGTGGATCCTGGGGGGTCCCAGTATCCCACCTGGATCCGTCCTCCGCCCATCCCTCAGCAGATCTCTCCTTGAATCTCAAATCCTGGCAAACCTCAGCAAATCTCACCAAATCTCGGCAAATCTCACCAAATCTCGGCAAATCTCACCAAATCTTGGCAAAACTCACCAAATTGCGCCAAATTGCAGTAAATCTCATCAAATCTCACCAAATCTCGCTGAATCGCAGTAAATCTCATCAAATCTCACCAAATCTCGCCGAATCACAGTAAATCTCATCAAATCTCGCCAAATCTCAGCGGAATAATGCACTTCGTGTCCTGGCAGCGGTTCGGCGCTATGGTTACTGAAGCCGGCGTGGCGGGAGCCATGGGGATGGCAGTGCTCTGCCGAGGGTGACGGGTGCTGCGGCTCCCCTGGGCGAGCCGGCGGGGAGCGTGGTGCCAACGGCGGCTCCATCCCTGCGCGCCCCTGCCCCTGGCACCCTTGGGTGAGGTGGTTCTACTCATCCGGCTTTATCCTGGCCCGGCGGCGAAGCAGGAGCAGCCCAGGCCGCCAGGGTCTGGCCCTCCTGGCACGGCGGCCCCTGCCCACCCCGTGCCAACGCCGGCACTGGGTGCGTGTCCTCACCCAGGGAGCCCCCGCGCCCAGGGTCACGGGCGCCAGAGGTCCCCTGCCCAGGGTGCAATGAGTTTGCTTGGCCTCAGCTCTCCCTCCTGTAGGGGCCGAGGTGGGGAGAGAGGGGAAGAGGGGAGGGAGCCCAGCCCCTCCTGGCTGCCCTCCTTGCTCCCAGCTGCCCTTTAAAAAAAAAAAGAAACTAAAAATAAAAATAAAATAAAATTAAAAAAATAAAAAGTAAATAAAATAAAATAAAGATAATACAATAAATAAATAAGATTTAAAAAATGAAGTAAAATAAAATAAAATAACAAAA